CTCACAATTAGTGCTTAGTGAATTAGTGTTGCGAAACAAGATACAAGGTTTGTTGCTTGGATTTATGTTGAATGTAAATTGTACAACAACCCTTCTGGTTATTGTACTGAGTAGGAAAGTTCTTTTAGTAGCCCTTCTGGCTACTATATCGAGATTTCTTTTCTAGTCGCCCTTCTGGCTGTTGTTTTAAATTTTCTTTGTCAATAGTCCTTTTGCTATGATATATATTGATATATATTGGTTTTCTTTTTCAGCATCCCTTACCACTGCCTATTACTGTTTATTACTTTTGAAAATACTGCTAAAAAATATATATATTTTTATTAGCTATAACTCTATTAAATTTTATTATAAATTTAATTATTTACGTATATGAAAATGTAACGCATTTTATGTTTCATATGTAAATATAAAATGAGTAACAAAGTAAGAAAAGTATATTGCAAGAATTAAATATTTAAATTACAATGAAAAATATTAATAATATTACAATGAAAATTTGAAACGCTTTTTTACAAAATAATTAAACTGATAGTACTTTGTAGAATATTAGCTTTTGAAATATGAATTGATATCCAATTTATTGGAGTCAATAATAATGGTTGTTCGTTGTCAGAGTTCATATTTTCTTATCATTTTCTCTTATTTTTCTTATTCTAAATGTTTCAACAATAAAATAAAATATATATATTCGAATTTCGTATGCGTAAATCAAAGTTTATTCGCGATCGTTATTTGTGACAAAAATCTTGCAATGAACATATTTCGCGTAATTCTTTCTATTCTTCGTGCTACATAACGCGTAAATAAAAGTTGAAAAATAAATCAAAATGCGATTTTAATTGAATCTTCTTTTATCTTTGTATCAAAAATAAATTTTCAAATTTTATTTTATTCAGTCTTCAATTGAAATTCAATCACTAGAATTTCTTGCTTTCAGTTTTCATAATTTTGAATGAAAATATAGTTTAATTCTAATATCTTAACAGTAACGTGATCTTTTCTTTGTGCGCATAATATGTTTTCATTGCAGATATTCTAATTTTGTCTTCCTATTTAAATTGTAATACTAATCTAATATGTAAGTTTGTTTCAGATAAACATTAACTTACAGACAGTATTAATAACAGAAAATATACAGAGATATATACACTAAAATTTTAGAAAGGTGGAATATGAATCGAAAAAAGTGATTAAGTAGAAGATATTGTAACAAAATGATGTTTCATCCAACTGCAAGTAATAGTTACAGATTTTACAAATTTTACCAGTCTTCTTCAGTTTCTTAGATTTGTTTCAGGTACAAATTATAGAACCGATCGAAGAAGAAGACTTCGCAGTGGTTTGACAACACTATGGATTTTAAAAATCTTATTTCTGGCGCCGTCATTACTTCATCAACTTCGATTGTTTTGCGTGATGTAGTTTCCCAACTCACCATTGTTTGAGCATAAAGTGCACTAAAAAATCAGTGATTTTTTTACTATGTCGGTATTTCAGGTTATGGATTATGAAATCCCGTAAAATTCTTGATCTATTAATATATCTCGTCTCTCCCTAATTGTTTAAGCGTGTTAAAAAATCAGTGATTTTTTTTTTCCTGATCAGTATTTCGAATCTTGAAACATTAAGTTCCACTTAATGTCCAGTTTATTCTGTCTTTAATAAACGATAAAATAAATTATAAAATTATAGTTTCTATAAAAAATTGTTTAATTTTCTATTTCCAATGCTAATGATAATCTTTTCTTTTTGATAATTTTTTATATTTGTGAAATTTCTATTAATAACATTAATTTCCGTATATAACATTTTTCGTTCGAGAAAGATATTTGTTTTATTTCCAATAGATAATATAGTAAATAGAACTAACTCCCGAAAAATTATATGTATCAATTTAAACGTGACAACTTATTTAGTGATTGATTTGACGCGCGCCCAGGCTAAAGCCGATTGCATATGGCGACCAGTGTGTGGCGGTTAGAGTGTTTTGATGATACATTTTTATCTATTCACGCATGGTGTCGATAGATACTTGAGTTTAGTGAACTCGGAAACGTGATAAGACTCGTTTACAATCAGATAATGTTGTAGAGGAATCACAATATTTTACAACATTCGCAGCGGCATTTTTCATAACCTCAACGGTCAAGAACGTACGGTACTTTTATGTAAGTATACAACATACAATTTAATACGCGAAACATTTTATTCGTCAAATGCTAGGTTTTAAGTTATATCGTTTACGATTATTTTTATATCATTGAGTTTTCGGGATTGTACGTTTCATAAATTGATCGTTCTGTGTGATACTTATACTGCGTTTTATTTTTATTCTGTACTGTTGCATTATAATTTCCCCTTACCACGAAATAAATAAAACATGTAATATGTTAAATTCGAAATGTACGTACAATTTTCAATATAATTTTTCGTAATTCTTTTTATTTACCGTAAAATCAAAGTAAAGTAAAAAGTTTCAATATGGAAATATACATTTTGATTTAGTTATGGAGGTTAAAAATATACTATTTTTTTGTTAATATTTTAGGTAAAAATGCCGCCAACAAAAAAGACTGATTTAGACAAATTAGCATGGTCATGGGTAGAAAGCGTGGTATTAGATCAAATAGAAAGGATACACTTGGAAACTGCATATAGAATAGGTTTAAAAACATGTAAAAATTGCAAGTAAGTTGTATGTCTTATTTCAAATATTATTTATTCAAAGTAATATTCTTGTTTCAACATTTTGAAATAAATGATTTGTTTACAGACGTAATTGCATAAATAACCCACAATGTTTGACTGGACTAGGAGAAGAAAAGTACATGAAGTCCCAACCTGCAGAAGTAATGCCTTTGGAAAGTTCTCTGTCCGAGTTACGTGACCCTACCCAATATGTTGGTCTAAAAAATTTAGGTGCAACTTGTTATGTTAATAGCTTAATTCAAATGTGGTTTCATAACGAAGACATGAGGTATTATTAATTTATTGTTATTATTATTAACATTTAAGTTATTTATACACATATCTGTTATGAAAATAAAATTTATTACAGGAGGATAATATACAAGTGGAATATCACAGAGGATCCGGAGGAAAGGGAAGCACTGTGTCAAGCTACGAAGAAAGGAGCACCATTTCATCCGGTGACAGCAGTAGGACAGTTGCAATATATATTTGCAATGATGCAATTTGGAAATCGCCGTCTGCTCGATCCAATGAATCTCGCGATCGCATTGTCTTTGGACACTAGAACTCAGCAGGATGCACAGGAATTCTCCAAGCTACTTCTCTGCCATATCGAAGGGAAACTCCAACAAAACTCAGAACTGAAGCAGATGCTGCAGAGGCTGACCCAAGGAAAATACAGCTATATCAATTGGTGGGTTTTCTGAAGTGGAAAACAAATGAGAATTGTCCTAAACGATGATGATGCTGATGATCTTGACGATGAGAACATGGTAGGACACGTTGCTCGCTGCGGTGACTGGTGCGATCAACTGATCTGACCGAGAGAAGTTAATTCTGTCTAAATAACGCAAGTTTTGTGTTTGACGCAGTTGCTCTAAATGCGGAACTGAATATCCAACCTCCACAACATTCTACGAATTGGATCTACAACTTGCAGCCACATTGAAAGAGGCAATAGAGAAATACTTATCTGTGGAACAATTGACTGGAGCAAATCAGTATCACTGCGTTACCTGCAGTGATAAAAAGGATGCGCGCCGATTTATACGCTTAGAGTCTCTTCCAGAAACATTAAACATACAATTAATGCGTTTCGTGTTTCATAGGTACTTTTATTTTATTACGTTTATATTACGTCATTAGATATGTATTATGTTAATAGAATATATTACTTTGTGTCTGTTAGAGATTCTGGGCAGAAAAGGAAGTTGAATTCTTTCATACAATTTCCGGAAGATCTCGATATGTCAGAGTATGTGAGGTGTCCACCACAAATTCATTTGTACAGTCTGGTCGCAGTTCTAAGTCATAAAGGTCCATCTGCGCATTCGGGGCATTATATTGCAAATATATGCAATTCGAACGGCGAGTGGTACCAGTTTAGTGATGATAAAGTAGAAAAAATGCAGAATAAAAGAATCGAAGATGGTGTTAATGGTAAGTATACATTCTATTATAATAAAGAAACTTATTAAAAGGATCGGATATAATTAGATTTTTTTTTATTACAGAGAATCCAAAAGTAGTAAAACGCGGACGTATACCGAAAGGATTTTTGTCTTCTAATACCGCGTACATGTTAGTTTATAAGAAAGTTACTCCAGAAAAACGAACAAATAGTACAAAGAAAAATAAATTGAAAAAATTAGACGGAGAAACCAATAGTAATAATGATGCAACATCTACAGAGAAAATATTAATTAAAGAAAAATCGGATTCATTAAATGAAGACAACCAGAATTGTGATAAAACATTGGTTGTATCGGATATGAATAATTCTGAAAAAATGTCAAGATTCGAACAGGAAGTAGAAACTTTGAGAGCATCTCCAAAAGATATAATCGAACATTCTGAGAAAACTGATTCAACCTTTGATGAACAAAATGATAAACATTACGAATTCGACAATAAAGAAAATAAGCTCAATGTGATTTTGAAGAAACCGATTGTAAAAATTGTGAAGTTAGATTACAAGCGGTTAAATGGTGCTGCACATAGAGCTATGAGTTGTGGGGAACGTGATTTTTACGAAGAGGTTGATACATTTAATTTTTTTTCCTACTATTTCCTTTATGGACATTCATATGGATACATTTTGTTATCTTATAGATGGAATTCGAAAACTGGGAAGTGAGTCTAACGATGCGCGACTTAGTAAGGCAAGAAAATGTGAAACACGAATTAAGTCTATTGGCTATTCAACAAGAAAAGGTGAGCAATAGATTGAGTTTAATAAGTTAAAAAGAATTCTTACTGGTGGTTTTTGTAGCAAAAAGAGATTGAAGATCAAAATTTGAAGAGACAACTTGTCATAGACGTGTACAATATTATTTCGAACGTGGTTTCGTGGGACAAGTATCAATGGATTCCAAGCGATTGGCTATCAAAATGGCTCAATGGACACTTATCTATCGATGGAATACCACCAATAGATAATTCTACATTAATGTGTTCACATTATCGGCTTGATCCTTTGAAAGTGAATCGTGCAAAGTGTATGCCTATTACAGCTGCGGATTTGCTGTATGATAAATATCGTGGAGGACCACGATTAGATGAAAATTCTTTCTGCGAAGTTTGCGTAAAACGTCGGTACAAGCTGCTTCGTTTTAAGATATCGCTTGAACGCGATCACAAGGAAATTAGTGAACTTGTTCGCAATTTCAAAGAGCCGTAAGTTTCCTATATTAATCATAATTTAAAAACGAATGCATCATTTTGTAAGATAAAAATAAATTTCATTATCACTGTGACAGATTTGAGACTAGTTATATCGTCGGTGCTGATTCACTCAGATCATGGCGAAGACTCGCGATGGAAAAGTTTACGGATGATATGGAGCAGGAGATTGAGGACGAAGATTGTCAAGATCCAAATGGATCCCAGGAAGATAGTAAAAGCGGTACAAGTAAGGAAAGCGAAGGACTAAAGGAACCAGTAGAAGATGAAGAGAACGAGATTATAATCTATTTCAATGAAGATTTACTTTGTGAACACGGTTCATTGAAAATACCAGATTCGACAAGGAAAGTAGTGCCTCGTGAAGCTTGGATGATACTCCGGAAATATTTTCCAGAATCAAAGGAATATCCTATTGGTGCTGCGTCATGTTCAATTTGCGAGGTATTATTTCGTATTTCAATAAAGACAAAATTGTGAATATTGAAGTATCACATATGAATATTGTTTAGGAGAAAATGGAGAACGCTCAAAAGGCGAAAAAGGACGACAAGATAAAAGCTAAGCAGCAAAAAGACGAGTTAAGTGACCTGTATCACGGTAAAAATAGGAATGAAATATTAAAGTGCGAAGATCCAGAAAAAGCATTTTACATTATTGAAAAAGGATTCGTGGACAGTTGGCGTTCCTTCATTCGGTAAGTTTAATCATTTACGTTTTTTTTTTTAATATTTTCAAGATAAATACGAATACTTATGAATAATTATGAATAATATAAGACGACGTATTTAAAATTTATATCAAATTACATAGAAATTATATTACTGAATGAATAATATGTGGAATGCGTGAAATACGCGAAATACAGAGTAGATTATACACTTTATGGTACTTCATGTTACATGTTCTAAAACATTGATCTTAAAAAATTATGTGCTCCCTGGAATTTTCCGTAGTGAACATAGAAATTATATTCAGCTCAATCGTTCAAGATGATAAAGTACAAGTACGTTGTAGGGGCTAGGAACTTAAAATGTAGGGGCTATTTTAC